ATATGCCCTTAGTACACCCCAAGTGTTCCCCAGAGGGTCCTAGTAGTTATCTGGATAGTACTAAGGGTTTCTGATAGGCCCTTAGAAAACTCTAGGGGTTCCTCGGAGTGCCCTGGCGGTTCTCTATAAGGCATCGGTGATTACCTAATAGGCCCTTAGTACACTCTAAATGTTCCGCAAAGGGTCCTGGTAGTTATCTAGGATAGTACTAAGGGTTTCCCAAGAGACCCTTAGAAAACTCTTAGGGTTCCTCAGAGGGCCCTGGTAGGTATCTAGAAGGTACTAAGGGTTTCCCAATAGGCCATCAGAAAACTCTAAGGGTTCCTTAGAGGGCTCTGGTGGTTCTGTAGAAGGTTCCGGTGGTTTTATAATAAGTGTTCCCCAGAGGGTCCTGGTAGTTATCTAGAAGGTACTAGAGGCCCTCAGAACAGCCTAATTGCCTAATTATTTCCCTGAGGGCCCTGGTGGTTATCTATCAGCCCATTGGTCCCCGAGGACATTGTGCTGGTTCAGGATGACTTCTTAATAAAATCGAGTGCAAGTATTTGAAGTTCTCCTCTGTTTTTACATCACATTTCAATAACCTTGATTCTACTTTTATTAGTATTTCTAGTATAAACGACAGGGGCATGATATTTAAACAATGTTTCTAACATGTATTTAATTGTTGTAATCTGTGAATAATCTAGACACAATGCTGTTTTAAAACAGTACGCCCTCCCTTATGAATCAATTATTTTTTCCCGAATTGTATTATTTCACGTCTCAAATCATATTTTAAAACTTGGCATGTACTGTTTAACGAAGTTGGTTGGAATTATAAATCCATTTTCTATCTCCCATTTTGACATTTTTTATACAAGTCAAGATACAATATTACCACTCCCCTCCATAAGTTTGGCAACCTTTTTCCCCATTGAACTATGTGTTAAAGCCTCTCTACGTTTGGATTTTTATTTACTTAACAGGCAATGAAATAACTTATAATATTGATGGAAACGTAACTTGACTTTATTTCCAATACCTCCAAATTTTCACAATTTTTTCCCTCAATTACAATAGGTCGAAAATTGATGATTTTGATGAATTTTTGAAAATCGTCATTCCCATGTAATCCAATGGGAAATGGAGGGTTCGGGGCAAATCAGAAATCAGGATATCTTTCAGTAAAAGATTCAGCAAAAAATATTTTTATATAGAAAATTGAACTTTTATGAACACTAAGTGTTTAGTTTATTTGATGAATATTAAAGTTACAGCGCTTCAAAGTCATTTTTGAAAATAATTTTTCGCCTCCTGTGTTATTTCAATGGGAGAGGTTTTTTGAAAAACAATTTTGACTTTAAAGCCTTATAACTTTGTTGAACCTGAAGAAACATATCATTTTTTTGTTAAATAAAGTTAGCAAATTCAATTGCCTGCCTAACTCGTATTTTTTGCAAAGAATCGGATGGATGGATATTCTGTCATATGACTTGCGGCAAACCTACCATTTCACATTGGTAAACATGGGAATGTCGATTTTCAAAAATTCATCAAATTTATCATCAATTTTCGACCTATTGTAATTGAGGAAAAAAATTGAGAAAATTTGGAGGAATTGGAATTAAAGTCAAATTACGTTTCCATCAATAGTATTTTCATCGCTGGTTAAGTAAATAAAAATTCAAAGGTAAAGAGGCTTTAACACGTAGCTCAGTGGGGGAAAAAGGTTGCCAAACTTATGGAGGGGAGTGTATGTGATACCTAATAATTTCAGATCACAATTTTGTTTTCTTCTCATAATATATTTTCAAAACATATTGACCTCCTTAGAAATATGTTGGGTAGGGGTGCAAATGAAACATTTCTCCTAAAATTTGTAATTCTAGGTATTGGAAATAAATAGCATAAACACAATTTATCTAAATTAGGGTTTTGAAATTTTGCTGAATACCTTAGAAGGGTACTCCATAGAGGACGCCACTCATAGAATAACACATTTTGCCCACCTATGCAAAACGCATATTAGTACTGATTTTGAAAGTAAATAACCTATAGATTAAGAAAATGCAAAGACAGTATTTGCATACTTCGACGCAGAACTATTTCGAATTTGTCATGAATCTGACTCTATTGCATCTGTCTGTTGTCTTCAAAGGAGACATGCGCGTGAACCTGGAGAGTTTGGTATAAATTCAAACACTGACTGCTGGGAGTTAAATGTCCAATGCAATTTATTTCTTATGACATTGTTGTTTAATTAGACTTTTCTTATTTTAGAGGATGATGTTTTTGTTAAACATTTGAATTTCACATATTTGAATTGTTGATTAAAAGTAATACTGTATATCATTCAATTTAATATTACAATGGAGTAACGCTGTGGTGGCAGGAAGGAACAATGTTTCCGCTTGAATCTGTTCTCAATAACTCAACAAACGAGCAATTGTTGTTTTATTATATATTTTTTATTATTAACTACAAGTATTTTTTGCATCCTAAAAATGCTATATCATTGGACTGAAGATTTAAACTTCTGAATTTTTAAAACCATTTCTTACATTTTTCGGCCAGGTTTTTCAAATATATTTTAACTGATATAATAATGTAATATCCACTCCAATTTCTAAAAGTCACTAAATTCCCCATATCGTGTCTTGATTACATTTGGTAATAATGGTTTAATGAGTATTTCATTAACATGCATACATTTTTAATTACTTTCAAAAGCCAATGTCAACTGTCGTGGATCGTTAAGAAGTTTTTACAAAATATTGTTTCATTTGCTATAGGTCTGTCAGATTCTTGGGACACTTATTCTGTATATTAATGAATTATTGAAAGCTAGTAACTAATTTATTCTAAATGCAATAAACCATGCAATTCCCGAGTCATTCTCAATTGATTTATTTGTTTTGATATATTATGTTTTCAATAATTATTTAATAATAGTGGATTGGGACATGGTTCAATGGGCGGTTTGAAATTGCCAATTATGAATTTATGAATACAGCTTGAACAGTTCTTTAATGATGAAAAAGACAAATATCGAACAAACCCAGTTTCAATTAGAAAAAAAGTATATACTTACCTGTTATGTGGATGTAATGTTCGATTGTCTTGAACTATGATTCGACGTGTCTTGCTCTAGTGACAGTTTTCAGAATGTTTGAGGTAATCAATTTTTCTCTCTGGCTACCTACGTTCATCCCTGGTCTACACATGTGTATTTGTGGTTTGATAATATTGCCAATTGTGCATTGTGAGTAAAACGTGTTTGTTTACAATCAACCAGGATTATGAGTATTACGCCAAATGGATAAAACAATTGTTTATCACAACATGGGCCTTTATCAAGATGCAGGTCAAAACTCAATACAAAAATAACAAATATTCAAATGAGAATAACTCGCATAATAAAACATAAGCATTACTTAATTGTTTTTTCTGTTTCATGTAATTTTAAAATCGCAAATGATATTAAAATATAAATTATTTATAATAAAATGTAACTTCAATATTAATCCGATACGCTCTGACTGTAATTATCAAAGTATAAAGTTACCTTCGTTGAAAGTGAAAATATCCGCCATTTAACATTTGAAATTGAAATATGTGAAAAAATATATCAAATTCAAATTGGAAATGAACTAAGATAAGCAACCTTTAACATTTTCAGGAAATAAGGTTGTTACCAAAGCCTATTGATGGTTACAGCTACAGATCACGATGAATTATAAAGAATATTTTGGTTGATCGAGGATCAAAACTATAGCCACTGTTCTTTTTAATTCAAAATTGAAATTGAAATTCTTCGTTAAAATATTTGCACAAAGTTTCAAGAATAAGAAACAAAACTGTGTTAATTGTCATTGATTGATTGAGAGTGGATGAAAATCATTTGGCTAATCTGAATGATAAAACATATCTATATAATTGATTATTCAAAATTATGTACAGTTCAAAATTTTGATCCCGATGACTGATGACAAGACAGAGATCTGTAACGAAACTCCTAATAAAGAAAAAACACTCTGCGATAATAAGTTTTAAATTAAGGACAATACCCAGTGACATTCCAAGAATGTATTTTAATGGTAAATTAATATTTAAAATCTACCTTCCCATTGGTCATTAAATAATGAATTTAAAAGTGTATTGCATGATCAATATTGGAGAAAATGGATGACAACTTGTAAACAATTATTAATGGTTATCCTTTTTATATAAACCGCAACAAAGAAGAACTTAAACTGGCTACTATGGTGCATTTACACAATTATGACAAAATAATGAAAAACAAATGTTCGTTACAGTTTAATGGTCTTCGTAGTCGAAAATGCAATATGAAAATTCCATATTAAAAATACTATATCATGACTGGTGCTCTTTCCGGCTTAATTTTCTTTAATAAGAAAATATAAGATGAAATCCAAATGCTTTTGGTATATTTTAAGACACAACTGGGAGTAACAAAACATGTAAATCGATATTAGCTGATTCCAAAATATCTCATGCCATCGTCTTGTAAATCAAAATTAAAATAGAGAGTTAAGGTAGTGTGAAAATAGGTGAAGTTTGGAATGCCAGATTTTGATTCAACCTATGCCAAGCAATAAATATTTACTGCTACATTTAGATAACAAAAATAATCGATAATATACAACTAGTGCTATCATTTGAAACAACCTATGCATTTATATGACTTATTTTATATGTGTGAAATTCAAAAACGTGGGAAAAAAAGTAAAGTGAAGTGGCCAAGCAATTTTCGAATTTCATTTGAGGTTTTCGCTTTTCACTAAATTTAAATTAACGAAAGCACAGACATACATACATTAACTTAAATATTTGAACTTGAATATCCACACCATGGAATATTCATATGCTGGTGAATATCTAACTACTATTTATTTCTCGTTACATAACAATTTGTTTTAATGTAGCACGTTCGCTAAATCCACAATCCGACATGAATTATTTTTAGGTGCATCCGTATCTAAAACGTGTAGGTCAGCATGAGACGCTACCAGACGGTTTCTAGGCGTATGTTGAGATAAGATTAATATTCTACTGAAATAATAATCATGTCCATTTTACTCGAATGATTAAAAAACTTATAATATCGTTGACATTATACTTGTAAATCATCCTAATAGGTTCATCCGGGCACCTCCATCACCGATGCTCTATGCTTGAGACGAACAGACAAACGCTTTGAGTGGGCGTAGCTAGAAGCCTATACACCCGGGAGAAGGTAATGATAATTTAACTCTTTTTATGTATGAAATTGTTATATTAATTCTAATATAAGTGAAGTACATAGTTATGTGGTAGATTTCCATAGAAAAGTTACATAAAATGCGTTTTGAAATTAGTGTTTCTTTATTGCGATATATATGGTCAAGTTTTTCTATATATTCATCCGCCATTTTGCTAAACGCGGCCATTTTTGTTCACCACTCTTATTAGACCGTCGTTCTATACGATAAAAATCGTATATTTATCATTTATTTGTACATTTTTCTATTTGTTCGGAAGGAAATGATTGGATGTTTATGAATTAATGTTATATATGGACATTGGAAACCTTATGTTCAAGTCACGGGGAGATGCAATTTAATGTCATAGCGAAGTATAAAATAGTCCCGTTCGAACAAAGTGATATTAAGCAAACGTATTGTTTTAACGTTGCTCTTAGTGTTTCCGTATTAAACATTAATTCAAAATAATAAATATATCTCTGTTATTTCTCACATATCTTCGCCTTGCTTGAACATCAAATAACAAATACTCCAGTTGGCCCATTCCTCTGCTTCTTTACCCCCTACTAAAGGTTATGGCGATTTTCTAGCCCATGTATCTAAATAAATATTCACTTTTTCTTTATTTTGTGACGTGTATTTGATGGCACAACTGGTAGATAACACCTGTCATTTTGGCTGGTTGATAGCTGGGTTGCTGTCATCTTCTTCTCTTGTATTACATGCCAAAGTCTTTCGGTGCACCTCTAATGATCTAACATAGACTTCTTACTTTATCCTAATTGTGTTTTAGGAAGGTAAATATTTTTAATTCATTAACCTAATGTGACATTCCGAAATCTTCAGCATTTCTAGATTGTAACGAGAGACAAGTAATCCCACATGCGAATTAGTTGAATTGGTTTAAAATGTCTAATGTCCCCTTTTGGAATTGATCTGTAATTTGGTTGGTCGAAAGGTTAGTCTTAGTCAGCTAATTGAGAACAAGTTCATCATGTTTTACTTTCTTTTGCATAATATAAATCTAACAGGGTTCCGATGCTGCTCAATCAGTTAATGAACCAACTTAGGATGTATTTATAATGCCACTTTTGTAATTTATTTCTTCAACTTGCATATGCTAATGCACATTTTCTTTTGTCACCCACATGTAGACCGATTGTTCTTTGTCGACTTTTGGACGACATCTTGAAGCGAACGAGGTCTCAATACAAACCAACAACGTCATACCTGTGGCGTAAAAACCTCTAGAAAGCCAAGGGACTTTATTAGAGGTAAGTCCTTTTTATTTTAACTTATAAAGCTTTAGTATGCCAAACAAATTTCTTCAAAGATATGAGATTTAAATGTGTCTATAGTTAGTTTATTAGGATTTAATAGCACAATTGCTATTAAAATATGAAGAACATACCCCGCAATAAACGTGGTAAGTAAACGGTGATGGGGTCATCACTATACTTACATTACAGTAAAATATTCCATGTATTGATGGTAGATGATTTAAAAAACACGATCTGCGAGTTACACACGTATTTTTACACTTTGATTAAGTAAACTTCTGTTCGGCCATTTTCTATATCCTCTAGCATATGACATTGACTTTAAATTACTTTACAACTTTTAAATACTACATATAGTACAGATGTAGACACTGTATGTAGATTTATTGTGCGTCTGGACATCAGACAAACTACATTTTTATTTTTTATTCATAGCATACATTACAATGGTAAATATGGCACTGGGTCTTGCTGACCGTGAAAATCTTTAAGTAACTTTTTGTAACACTAATTCAAGTACATATATTCTCATCGAATACTCTCATTTAATTATCAATGGGAATACATTTCACTTACCTTCCCTCCATAAGTGGCAATCAACCTTTTAAACTTGTTATAAGGCGAGAAATATTGAGTATATTGTATAACAATCGATGTCTCAAGAAACAATGATTAATGTGTGGGGAAGGGGTAAAAAACACACAGGTCACACACAGCATCGAGAAATACAGTCTAGGTTGCCATATGTTGCATGGTGATGTCTGCTGGTATATTCACTTCCTCAGCTGCCTTTGCCTCTCAGGCTCTATTCCCAGCTCTTCATATTACTTCTTTACAAGGTGAACACAATCTTAACAAACCATAGGGTATATCTGTTACTTTTACTTCATAACAATTGGGAACCCAGTTTTCCAATCACAGTGAAATATTGTTAAAAATAGGCAGTGATTGCTAATGTGTGTACTGATTTTATACTAATACGAAATACGAGTACTATAGTAGTATGTAACACATGTCAAAAATTGGTTATTTCATAAAAATCAGATAACTTTCTTTACCATGATAATTACAAACTTTTTACATAAGAAGTGTACAAAATGATTGCTGTAAATTATCAGGTTCAGAAAATTATTCCAGGAAATTTAAACTAGTCTAAAATACGCTCTTTATAGAATATTCCCAAATATTCAGTGGATTCTGACGGAAGTTAATTCCTTGGAAATGAAAATATTGTTCATTATGCCTTAGTCAAATTTGATCTACGGCAACCGTACGACAACTGAAGCTTCCCTGCAAATTTGAGAGAAATAGTAGCATAAAAATATAGGGATAAGCAGTGCGATGTAGATGTTCTATCGATTTTGTTAAGCTACGGCTACCGTACGGCAACCGTAGAGCAAATGTGTGGGGGAGGGGCTCATTTCCTCATTTTCCTCATTTTCATTTTTTAGGCCCCTAAATTAAAAAAATGGACCCACATTTGAATTTAAGGCCCATTTTTGATAATTTCGACTAAAAAGGCCAACTAATTGAGGCTCTACATTTTTTTGCCAGAAAACCCAATATATTTTGTTACTCAACCACCATATGCACATTTTGCACTTTCTGAGACAATCATGTGTCATGTGCAACATCTTTTTGATGCAGATAAGTTGGTGCACATATATATTTTGGATATGTTATTTGGCATGGAGAGAAGATAATCAGCCATATTATTTAACTCCGTATTTTCCACTTTCTTTTTCTGCATCAAAAAATTTCTCATAATCAATATAAATAACCACAAATATATACGTATCTATATCAGTAGGTAAATACCAATCCTATAGGATATAGAATAGGATTTTCAAGTCATTGACGTTCCCTATCAAACTGCCTCTGATCCTTTAACTCCATGGCTTGAAAGTAAAATATACAAATCATACGTCACTACTTTTTATATTAATTCCCCACATTTTTTACTTTCAAAAACGTATATGATAAATGGATGATTACTAAGAAATATTCCCAACACGATATGTTTTGTTAGATATGATAAATATTTGCTAGGATTTGTCCATCAAAAGCAAATTGCAATTGCAGTTTTCTGTTGGTCAAAACACATTAACATACCAGATTGTAAAATACGGACATTGGTGATATTTGTCAATTATTCAGTATATGAAATGATAAAAGACATGCAACATAAAATAAAGGGAATCGATTTGGACAATGAACAATTTGACAATGAGATCAGTTAGTGTAAGCAAGGCATGATACGGGGATTCAATTTGGAAAGCAACATATGAGAGTTACGGGAGATCAACAAGGACAAACGATGAGTGACACGGTGAATCATTTGGACAAGCAATAAATCTGTTGGGGAACAGGATGGACAAGTTATGAATCTGTTGGGGATCAAGTCGGACAAGCTATGTATGTTACAGGAGATCAGCAAGGACAAACGATGTATGACACATTCAATTTGGACAAGCAATGAATATGTTTGGGATCAGGTTGGACAAGCTATGTATGTTACAGGAGATCAGCAAGGACAAACGATGTATGACACATTCAATTTGGAGAAGCAATGAATATGTTTGGGATCAGGTTGTACAAGCATTGCATATCACAGGAGATCAGCAAGAACAAGCAATGCCTGATACGGTGATTCATTTGGACAAGCAATGAATATGTTTGGGATCAGGTTGTACAAGCATTGCATATCACAGGAGATCAGCAAGAACAAGCAATGCCTGATACGGTGATTCATTTGGACAAGCAATGAATATGGTCGGGATCAGGTTTGACAAGTAATGAATGTTACATGAGAGAAGCAAGGACAATCGATGCGTGATACGGGATAATTTGGACAAGCGAATGTGTTGAAAGAACAGCTTAGTCAACCAACGAATGTTTAGTTTTAGGTTTAGAAAATGGTGGGAGAAGGGATGCTAGACATTATTTCTTTATGTATAATATCATCATTTTCTTTTTGTGTTCAGATCATAGCTTTCTTTACCTTAACAACTTTTCCCTCTTGTACCTAGATATTCAAATCAGCTTGGACAAGTAATGTCATTCTCTCGTGGTGGACGGCGAGTGGTCCATGACTTTTGAACGAGAAAACAATGTAACGGGGTAAATAACCTTTCATCAAATTTTGTGAAATATAAATGTGATTAAATGCAAAAAGTGGATTGTAGGTTTGAGATAAGAATATTTCCGTTTGTCTCAGTTGCTGTTAAGGATGAGGGTTGTATTGTACTTAAACATCATCACTGGTATCGTAAATACAAATTATCGTAAACCCATTTCCCATATAAAAGACAATAACTTTGAATAAATGAGGGAGATATGCACAGTAAAACATGTGTATATTGAACATTTTGCCGAGAAAAAAACGTTAAGTGTTTGAACAGAGAGGGTAATTTATACAGATGCCAGTATGTGCGGAGAAAAGGTGTCTACTAGAGACAGGTCTTCACCATTAGACAGGTTGGCTGTATCATGTAACAAGTGATCAGTTGTACAAACGGATATTGTACACATATCAGCAGTCATATTGACAGGTGACAGTATTGGAGATGACACAATATTTCAAACCATCCTTCAATCAAAGGACTTCATTTAAATACTCTTGGACCAAGGATGATTCCAAACAATCAATGTAATGCATAAACAGCCTCATTAGATTTCTAGAGAAAAATTTGCAACAATATTAAAAAATTAAGTGACACTAATTACACAGATATTACTTAAAAAAGTTAACTGATTTTTGTGAACCACCCCATGTCCCTGATATATGGACAAGGGTGTATATGATATCATGATTCATGCTCTGGCACTCGAGTTGGGTGAAAGTTTGGGCCAAGTGAATTTATTAGTAAGAATAAATCCTATAACAAAAAATATGTTTCCCAAAATCGATTTCGGTAAAAACATGTGATTAACCACCGTGAATTAAGAAAACCAATTAATTCCGAAGAGTTAGAGTAACTGAGATGGGTAGCAGGGATACTGTATTATTCTATATCATGTTTACTATTGTATTATTACCGAGTGCACAGGTAGCCTGGTAGAATGTGGTCACTTTGCAATCAATGTAATTGTGAATGAATGTCATTATGAAATCAAAACCCCAAATGGAATACATAAACACGTGCATGGACAATATACCGTGCAATGACAGCAGACAATCGACACTTATTGATGAGACTTCTCAAATGAATAGTAGGAGTTCGATGTCAAATTTATAATCCTGAATAGACAATCGACTGGCATTCGTTCCACATCAACATCAAATTATGTCAGTTGTCAAACATTATCTCGTCATAATCATATTGCACAATTTGAGATGTTTTTGTTTGTACAACTGGTATATCTTTTGGGTCAACGACTAAAGCGCGTCTTTTTAAAATCAACATAAACCTTTGAATGAGTTTATACAAAAGCATATATTTTATAAAATATAACATAACATATTTTATATACGATCTGACATCGGTAATCAACGGTAATCATGTAATGTAACCGTGATAATAGTGTACTCTCTAAGTTGCTTTTCTTTAACGAAAACAGTCTATTATGTATAGCAGGAAGCTCGATAGAGGCCTTTTAGAATTGCTTAAGAAATGTAGGAGTAGCAGTTTTTTAGGTATGTGTTCAGGTCAATGCAACCTTTTATGCAGCGGTTGCCAAGCAATGCATTCCAGTTTCAAATGGACGAGGGAATGATTTCTGCTCCCTAATGTTAATGATAAAATAGAGTGTTTCATTTGGTCGATAGTGTGAGGTATGAACAGTATGCACGTACTGTCAGTATTTGCGTTTTGTAACTTGAATTACAGATTATGATTGTACGACAGTGAATAGTTATACACGTCGTTTATAGAACGTTCTGTTTTAGTTGTTGCCACTTTATGATTTTATTGTGTTAAACAAATGTCCTGTATGACTATACACCATGTCCATAACGCACATTCGTTGGTCATCACAAGTGATATTCACTTTTA